ATATTCATCAATATCAGTCAGTTCAATTTCAGTTACTTGAGAATAATCCAACAAACCGAAACCGGTCGTAACAAATAATGAACTTAGTAGAAATTAGGTAAAAGTTATTTTCTTTATCCTATATTCGATATGAATTTCTACAAAATAAAAGGTCATCAATTGAACAAATTGAATATTTCTTTTCGAAAGGCAATACTCCTACGAAAATCAAAGAAAAGGTGAATTTTGTGTATGGGGACTCAGCACCATCATTCACCACAGTGAAATTTTGGGCAGCTGAATTCAAACATGGCCGTAAGAGCTTGGTAGACGATAAACGTTCGAGACATCTAATAACTGCAACGACCGACGAAAAAATCGCAGAAGAAAATCCTGTTTCACCAAGACAACGCAATGTCTCACACCTCAGCTGTCTCCATAACGAAAATCCACGAATTACGGTTTGAACTGCTTGACCATCCGCCTTACTCATCTGATCTAATTCTTGCGCCACTAACATCAATGATCAATTTGATATTCAGTGGAGGCATTTTTCCAGATGGTTTCAAATCTACCAGAGTTATTCCTATTCATAAAAAAAGAGATATTACAGAAATCGACAAGTATAGACCAATATTCATTATTTCCATATTTGCTAAAATCATCGAAATAATTCTGAAAAATAGACTAGTGAAATATTTTGAAAAAAAAAACAATTTTTGAATAATGCACAGTATGGGTTTCGAGCAAATCGCTCTACAACTCTTGCAATTCTTAATATATTGAAAGTCATAGTTGAGGTTCTGGAACAAAGTGTAGTCACGGATATTACACTCTGTAACTCGTCGAAGGCCTTTGTCTGTGTCTCTCATAAGATACTCATTTTGAAACTTATTTATTACGGTATTAGAGGGGTGACATTGAAGTTATTCAGTTCATATTTAGAAGATAGAAAACAATGCTTTGCTGTTAATCAAAGAAACTCTGACTTTCTACCTATAAAACATAGTGCTCTGCAGGGGTCAGTGCTTGGACCGTTCTTATTTGTCATTTATATAAATGACCTATGCAACTTCAGATTACCCAATAAAAGCGTTCTCTTCGCCGATGACACCGGTACCGGTAAAAACCTTATGGAACTCACTTCTTCTTCTCATAACATTGAAAACGTGCTGAAAATTGGTTTACCTTCTTCTCTAATATGAACTTACAATTGGGAACTACTCGGAATTGTTATTGATGACAAACTCACATCGAATCATATAGAACAGATCTGTAATAAATTAGCAAGTACTCTGTTTCTCTGTTGAAAAAAACAATTCAACCTGAATCTCTGAGAATGACATATTTCTCTCTGTTTCACTATGAAACAATTTGCTGGAGAAATGCCACTCGTGCAATAACCATCTTTCTACAACAAAAAAGCATTAAAAATAGATTAACCAAATCTCAAAATAATTCTCTGAATATCAATCTATATAACTGCTTGCTGGAGAGAATCAAATCACTTTTTTTCGATCAGTTCAAAAAACGCACAAAAAATATATTCTTGAGCACTGCTTTTACTTCACAGTCGAGTTTCTCGTCATAACAAAGCAACTGGGTCATGCACTCAACACATCGCTTTTCTGAAATGTTCTATTTTGTTTATGTTATTTATTATTGCCTCGCTTGATTATGTTTGATCATAGTTTGGCAGCTGAAAAATATTTGAGTTGAAAACGAGCCACCTCGAATGAACTTCTGTTCAGTCTGTTTCCTAGGTTTCATACGTGTTTTTGTGAAGTATACTTCAAAAAAGTCTTATTCTGCCTACTTGAGTTTGAATTCGATATTTTCCTCATTTTGTATTTGTCTCATTCTACAATAACGATTACCTACCAGGTGAAGTTGCAATTGGTGTAACTTCACCTGGTGTTTTTGTGAACTCTTGAGAAGCAATGGTTTATACGTTTCAAGAACGTTTCGGAATTATTGAACAAATTTATGGAAACTGGATCTGTTGACAATAAAAAGCATAACCTTTCAGGCGTTGTCAACGATGAAGCTATTTGTACTGCCATTTTAGGGCACATTGTACTAATGAAAAATTCGCCATCTCTCTTTCAAAATATTATATGTTTTATTGTATTATTTTATCCATTGTACATACAAATATTATGTACCCCCTTTGAGGGGCTGTATCTTAACAAGGGATGCTCCAATGAAGTTTCTTTATATGAAAGATCCTATCTTTTTTTCGATGAGGAATCACCTCCTTAAATGTTTTACACTTATTCAGTTACACCCTGTATATTGAAATGCCATAAATATATTCATTCATGTAACACGGTGAAAACATATTTATCTATCTAGTCCCAAGCAACTTCTTTTTGTTTCCTCATCCAAACATTGCGCTCAGAAGATTTTCGTGAAATGAAGAGGAAATCACCATCGTGAACAGTTATTTTACAGAGAAAATCGCCGGTGTTATTTGGATTACAGAGATAAAAGCATCGCTGTATAGAGTTAAAACAATTATATGTTGAAAAATGTAAAAATCTGATATAATTTCTTGTATCTTGTATCTTTGTTAGGTCGAAAACTTTTCGGATCACCACCATATACAGTGTGTCCAAGATAAGGATCCTAAGCATGGGAATCTCAGTACCTCTTGGAGATACAGCTCAGGTTCAATTAGGAAAAAAGTTGTGTTCTTTAAAGCTTATTTACATGCCGTTTAGAAACTTGAAGAATTTTCATGTAAGTTATTTTCTTTATCCTATATTCGATATGAATTTCTACAAAATAAATAGGTCATCAATTGAACAAATTAAATATTTCTTTTCGAAAGGCAATACTCCTACGAAAATCAAAGATAAGGTGAATTTTGTGTATGGGGACTCTGCACCATCATTTACCATAGTGAAATTTTGGGCAGCTGAATTTAAACATGGCCGTAAGAGCTTGGTAGACGATAAACATTCGAGACGTCCAAAAACTGCAGCGACCGACGAAAAAATCGCCAAAGAAAATCCTGTTTCACCAAGACAACACACCGTCTCACACCTCAGCTGTTTGCCATGGCGAAAATCCACGAATTACGGTTTGAACTGCTTGACATCAATAATCAATTTGATTTTCAGTAAAGGCATTTACCAGATAGTTTTGAATTTACCAGAGTTATTCCTATTCATAAAAAGGGAGATATTACAGAAATTGACAATTATGACAATATCTATTGACATTGAATATCCATTGACAAATTCCATATCATCGAAATAATTCTGAAAAATAGACTAGTGAAATATTTTGAAAAAAAAATCAATTTTCAAATAATGCACAGTATGAGTTTCGAGAAAATCGCTCTACAACTCTTGCAATTCTTAATATATTGGAAAGCATAGTTAAGGTTCTGGAACAGAGTGTACTCGAGGATATTACACTCTGTAACTCGTCGAAGGCCTTTATCTGTGTCTCTAATTAGATACTCATTTCGAAACTTAATTATTACGGTATTAGAGGGGTGGCATTGAAGTTATTCAGTTCATATTTAGAAAATAGAAAACAATGCGTTGCTGTTAATCAAAGAAACTCTGACTTTCTACCTATAAAACATGGTGCACTGCAGGGGTCAGTGCTTGGGCCATTCTCATTTGTCATTTATGTAACTGACATATGCAACTACTTATTACCCAATAATATCGTTCTATTCGCCTACGACACTACTTTGATGAGTACCGGTAAAAACCTTATGGAACTCACTTCTTCTTCTCATAACATTGAAAAACGTGCTGAAAATTGGTTTACTGCAAACAAACTCAAGTTGAACGCAAGTAAATCCCAAAAAATAACCTTCTTCTCTGATATGAACTTATAAATGGGAAACGCTACTGGGAATTGTTATTGATGACACACTCACATCGTCGAATCATATAGAACAGCTCTGTAATAAATTAGCAAGTACCCTGTTTCTCTTGAGGCAGTTGAAAAAAACAATTCAACCTGATACTCTGAGAATGACATATTTCTCTCTGTTTCTTTCGCTATGGAATAATTTTATGGATAAATGCCACTCGTGCAATAACCATCTTTCGACAACAAAAAAGCAGTAAGAATTTCAACTGGAGTTGAATATAGAGAGCATTGTCACCCACAATTTATAAAGTTAGGCATCATGCCTTCACCTTCATTATACGAGTATATCTACAATTCCCTATTACAAATACACAGAAATGTCAACCAGTTACATGAGGATAATACTAGTTATGCTAAGTTATTAAAAACTCCAAGGTATAGATTAACCAATTCTCAAATTTATTCTCTGAATAACAATCTATATAACTGCTTGGTGGAGAGAATCAAATCACTATCTTTCGATCAGTTCAAAAAACGCACAAAAAAATATATTCTTGAACACTGCTTTTACTTCACAGACGAGTTTCTCATCACAACATAGCAACTAAGTCATGCACTCAACACATCACTTCTCTGAAATGTTCCATTTTAATTATGTTATTTACTATTGCCTCACTTGATTATGTTTGTTCATAGTTTGGAAGCTGAAAATTATTTGAGTTGAAAACGAGCCACCTCGAATGAACTTCTGTTCAATCTATTACCTAGCTTTCATAGGTGTTTTTGTGAAGTATACTTCAAAAAAGTCTTATTTTGCTAGTCGAGTTCGAATTCAATATTCCCTTCATTTTGTATTTGTCTCAATTTACAATAACGATTACCTACCACGTGAAGTTATAATGAGGAATGTTCCTCAATTTGGGTTATCACAGCAAATACAAGTTTGAACAAAATACAGTTGAGTTTAATTCATGAGTTTTCAAATTCACTTCGAAAAGTATTCAAATTGATGTTTCAAATGTTGGGTTTTAATTTTTAAAGGGAATNAATGAGGTCAAAATAACATGAATACGTTTCTGTGGCGACAACTAATTTTGAAGTACAAATTAATAGCAGGTTACTTGAAAAAATTCATTGGTAAGAAAATAATTATGAAAATCTATTTCGAGAATGCTGAACTTTCATATAAGTTATAGTGCCAGATAAATTGTAATTGCATTCTCTAATACCAGTCTGTAAAAAATCCCCAGATCGAAATAATATGTCTGTAAGTATCGTGATAAAATCCGAATATCAAATAATTGAGATCCTTTATTCCAGGAAGAACTGAGTAAAGATCAAATTGCATGTGAGTATTTCATCAAATGATCAGTTTCGATACCAAACTCTTGTGTTAATTTCAGTACTGAAGAATGCATTCGACACTTTCGATGTAGAAAAAAAAGGAAGTATCGGTACAGTCATGATTGGTACAATTTTGAGTATGCTTGGGATTCAAACAACGGATTCAATGTTGAAGGAGATCATAGATGAAGTAGACGAAGACGGTGAGATGATTACTTTTGGAAATAAATGGTCATCTGAGTTCGATTTTATTCATATAGGATCAGGCGAGTTAGAATTTGAAGAGTTCATCACTTTAGCTTCGAGGTTCATGGTTGAGGAAGACGCTGAAGCTATGCAACAAGAGTTGAAAGAAGCATTTCGTCTCTATGATAAAGAAGGTTAGTCTCGATAAAAGTTAGTGTTTATAAAGAAGTTATAAAACCATGACGCTGTCTTGAGTAAAACATTTCTGTATACGTTCAGCTCTTGCGGGCATTCAAGAAATTGAATAAAAACAAAATTCAATAAAAGTAGATACACATCTGAAACTCATGTACCCCTCGCCCCCCAAATAAAATCCGGAAAACAAAACCTCCAAAGTTCTCAGAGATTTAATTGTGCGCCCAAATAATCGCAGAAGTATGTTTTAACATATGTTGCAGCTCTCCAACTAGTACTAAAACTTTTTCATTACTTTTTTTCACTACCCTAAATATCTACAATCAATGTTTGAAAACTTCAGATTCAGTTCTAACGTCAATCTTGCGTATTCGTTAATCTGCTTTTGGCCTTGCAGCATATGATCGATTTTTATATCAATTTTTTTGGTGAAGGATAGGCTATCAGTCAAGGCAATTGAGTGGCTAACGTTAACATCACAACTATCCTTCTGCATTTAATCAGCATTTTTCTATCGTTTGCGGGGTACGACCATGAAATGAAATATTCAGGTAGAACTACTAGAAATACCAACTCTTTTTTATATTTCGGATATAATGCTTCTGCAGTGGTTCTAATATATGGAACGAAGTCGCAAAATCGGGCTAATTAAATCATTTATAACTCAAGACCGCTGGTAGGTAGGTAGGTAGGTCTAAAGTGAGTGGGTCTATTCGACCCTCCACCGCAACCCATGAGGATTTATTGTGGCTCACACCTATTCACACTCGACCAAATAAACCCAGCTTCTTAACGAAGCCGATTAGTTTGTATGGTGAGTGGTCTTTCAGGTCAGATGGTGAGAGTACGGATCTGCTGAACTCAAAGAAGCTGATTCGGTCCCCAGCGGGACACAGACAGAGGCGACACAACTGTCTTCCGACACNGTTGCTTGTTTTTATATTTTTTTGCTCACCATATAGTTGTTGATAAAGGAGACTGTCGAAAGTTATTTTAGAAAAGTCATTAAAATTTTGTTAGACTAAAAATACAGTTTTATTGGCGATTCCTGAAGGGAAAAATAACTAGAGTCTTAACAATGACAGTTGTCATGTTGCGCGCGAAGACAATTTCGGTTACAACATTTGAGTTTGTGTGAGCATTGAAAATTCATAATAGAAGCAATATCTACCATAGTGTCGAATCTTCCACAACGAAGACGCAATGCTATCAGACTATAGAACATTTCAAACCAATCTATAATAATTAAATCGAGTATCTATCAAATGTATTTCATACTGCTTTTTTTTGTATCGAGTTGACATAAAGTCTACTGCTGACCTGGCAACACTGTTAGCAACAGGGGCAACACTGGCCTGGCAACACTGCTAACAATGTTGCCACTGGCAACACTGGCCGTATTAATATGACCTGACTTCGTTTTTCTCAAAAACAATTTAAAAAAGTTGATATAACTCAGCTGATGAGTTAACACATTTATTATTTCTAAGGTGGTACGAAGTTCACTGGGTCAGTAAGTTCTTGAATAATTATTCATTCATTATGTTTTTCAGTCATGCAGACAGGGTATTCGTTTGAAAATATTTGTAGGTAATGGCTATATAACAACTAGTACATTGAAAGAAATTCTCAAAGAGCTTGATGATAAAATAACAAGTGATGAACTGGACATGATGATTGCTGAAATCGACGCAGATGGGTCTGGAACTGTTGATTTTGATGGTAAGTTAATAGATTTTAGACAATTACGTTGATCGCCAGATCCACCTTTTCACTGTATCAAAAATGTATAGTTACAGTTTTATTTGGGTTTGTTGAATTATTGTTTAGACTGAAGTGCGCCTTGATTATTACACATGTGGAATACTTAAAGAAAGTAGGTTAGGTTCATCAAAGGATTCTTTTATTGAATTTACTAATTTTTTTTTCTCCTGAGTAAGATTCACATTATCATCTGACCACAGTTCTCCATTTCAATATTTATCACTCAATACTGTCTATCGTTATCATACAATGTCACACATAAAGTTTGCGACATATGGAAGTTTTTTTCATCAATAGATATAAAGAAAAATTCAATCGCAGTTAGTTTGGTCTTTGTCAAATGACTAAAAAATCAATCCATTTTTCTCTTATCATGTCAAACCTGTCAAATTTGACATTTTTTTCGAAAATCCTCAAAAA